TTTTTGCCTCTCACGATCTACCACATTATCTCTAACATTTCCAGTCTTCATTGTCACCATCGGGGTCGGCGTAGAAGACCGCCCTTATGCTGCACCGCCAGGCCCGTGGGTTTCAGACTATCAGATTGTCAATAACCCCAGCTTCGCGAATGGCATCTCGGCAATCTGTACACTTATCTTTGCCTATGCCGGCGTTCCATTCTTCTTTCCGATCATAGCTGAGATGCGTGAGCCTCGCCACTACACCAAGGCCTTGGCCGCATGCCAAACCGTTGTCACCATCATCTATGTGACAATTGGGATCGTCGTGTACTATTACTGCGGATCCTACGTTGCCTCGCCTGCGCTTGGTTCCGCGGGAAAGTTGATTAAACAGATTGCCTACGGCATTTCTCTTCCAGGACTGTTCGCGAGTGCGACGATCTGCACTCATGTAAGGCACTATTATTTGTTACCCCCCCCCCTGTCCCCGAAGTGAACAATTTCTCACATCTGTATAGCTTGCAAGCAAGCACTTCTTCGTGCGAATGCTGCGAGGGTCAAGACACTTGGTCGCAAATACACTTGTGCACTGGGGGACCTGGATAGGGTGTGTCCTCGGTGTGGTCGTCATCGCGTATATCGTTGCAAGTGCAATTCCCAATTTTGATAGCCTCATATCTTTTATTGGAGCCTTGCTTGGCACGTTACAAGGCTTCCAGCCGAGTGGTTGCATGTGGTTGTATGATAATTGGAGTCGGGGCAGGGGACAGCGATCGCATAGATGGACCCTGGGCGTTTGCTGGAGCGTCTTCGTTGTTGTCTGCGGCACATTTCTGATGGTGGCTGGCACATATGGCTCTGTAGTTGGGATTATCGACTCTTTCAAGATCAATGGTGGATCGGGTGTTTGGTCTTGCGCTGACAACTCCAACTCGGTATAGAGGTAGGGAGCTACAAATAAGTCTCATTCAATTATGGTGGACATTTGGTGCCAGTTCAGTAAATTTCATTCTGTTCAAGGCATCTATTTAGATACAGAGGGTCTTCATTGAGCACCTAGTACTCACTAAAATCGTATTCTACCTCATAATCCTCAGCATCAATTTCACCGTCAGAAAGCTCAACATCCTGGAGATTCTCTCCTTCATCCTCCTCTTCGCTAGTAAATCCGTATTGGTCCTTCCTGAGCTTTTTCCAAGCAGCAATGGTCTGCTTTCGAGTTATATAAAAGGGTAGTTTCGACAAAGCAACACATCCATCCTTGGTCACCTCCACAGTTTGTCCAATGGAGCTAGCAGTATCTGTCGCTCTATCCATTAGAATAATGTGGATGAAAAAGACCATTCCTGGCTGCGCGACAACGTTTTGGCCCCGGACAAACATGGGATAGTCCATCCACGTAGGAGCAAAGGTGGCACCCAGGCTATATCCGCAAGCGTTGAAACGCTGCTCTTTAAACCCGTTCTCGTCTGCAACTCGAGCATAGGCCTCAAACACGTCGCCAATCTGCTTGCCTGGCTTGAGAGCCATCATTGCTGCCTCCATTTGTAGAATGTTGATCTCGAACATACGGCGCGCGAGCTTAGTGACTCCACCAATGTGTATAGTTCGCATCAAACAGGCATGATAATGTTTGTAGACACCGGCGTGTTCCAAAGTCACTTGGCGATCTATCTTGCACTTGCCGGTTGAGTACCGGGTTAAAACAGCCTTGTTCCCGGACACCAGGATATTCTCATTGGCAGGATCATCCCCGCCACCTTCGTACACGGTCCCAACAATTTCTCTCCACAAATCGCCTTCGTACGCGCCCGGCTTAGCTAGTTTTAATGCTCGCACAAGGGCAAAATCAGCCAAGTAAGCGGCCTTCCGAATCTTGCGAAGCTCCGTTTCGGATTTGATAATCCTCAATTCGCGACCAAACAGGGTGCTGTGGTTGACTAGAGTACACAGGCCGCTTGTCGTTTCCTCTAGCAGTTTACCAATCTCGAGATTTAGTGTAGCGGAATTGGGTTCGTAGCCGATTCGCTTGATCGGGGAATTGATGCCAAATTCCTTCAAGACATCTGCAACCAGAGCAACTGGGTTGCTGCCAGCGTCGTCGGGGCGAATCAGAATGTCCTCCTCCTTCAGGATCGAGGTGTATAGAGCTTGCCGAAGGTCAGGCATGCGAGTAATGAGCCGCATCGAGCCATCATTGTGGAAATACATGGCCTGAAAGAACACATATCCAAAGGTATCGTATCCGGTGAAGTAATATAGGGACTCTTGTTTTGTCATCAGGAATCCATCTAAGTTCTCTCGTTTCATGAGCTCGAGGGCGCGCTGCCGGCGCTGTTTGAATTCCTCCTCGTTGAAGTGCAGAGCCCTTTGGAACGGCTGGGGTTTTTTAACAAGCACCATGATGGTTGAGTTAGGGATGAAAGCAGAGAGGACAGAAAGATATGCAGTTGAGAACGTGTATTGGCTATTGCAATTGTTGTTATAATGGTGAGGGGACAAGCTTGATCTTATAGTTGTCTTATAGTTGTCTTACGGGGGCTCATGTGTAGCTCATGTAATTTCCTCTGGCTCTATACAGGGAACATGCAGGTCGGACTTCGAACGGATTATTCACAGAACCTCACTCCATATCCCCAAGCCTTTCATCTATCAGGGCGAATTAGGCAAGAGCGGCCGTGATGCTCGTTGATTCCAGCTTTGTGAGGCTTATCTCGGCGTGGGGTGAACGCAAGAAGCCGAGACGGCCGCCGATCCATTGTTGATCCACTGTGGCTGAATTGAATCAGGCAAGACCGACCGGTGGTCATAGCGTCATTCAAGGTTATTGGCCTACCTTATCTACATAGGACATCATCTGGGGTATATGCGGGGAGCGTAACTATATCCCTCTAGGTATAACCCCGGGCTCAAATCATGTCGGTCGTAAATACTCCCGTTGTGTCTACAACAAGTTGACCTCTCTTTCTACCACACCCGATCGAAACAAGATGAAGAAATTCGAAGGAAACGATACGGAGATGCCAGGTACGGCCGACATGGAAACAATTAATGATGGCACGACACACCGTGGCCTGAAGCCTCGTCATAGCCAAATGATAGCCCTAGGGGGCTGCGTCGGAACCGGGTTGTTTGTCGGTACGGGAGCAACCCTGGCCACAGGTGGTCCGGCCTTTATCCTCGTGGCCTTCATCATGATGAGTATCCTAGTATATAGTGTCGTCACGGCTATCATCGAAATCACGGCATATTTACCCATCAATGGAGCGTCAATGTCCTACTATGCTTCTCGATATGTCTCCCCAAGTCTGGGTGTTGCATTGGGGTGGCTCTATGTCTACTCCTTAGGCATTTTAGTCCCATATGAGATTACTGCGGGAGCTTTGGTGATCGACTACTGGAATAGGTGAGTCTCACTAAACGGTTGGGGTTTGGTCCCTTTCAATTAATTTGGCCATTGGACATTTAGCCCTGTGAACATTGGCGTGTGGATCACAATATTCATCCTAGTCATCGTCGGTCTGAACTTTCTACCCGTATCGTATTACGGTGAATCGGAGTTCTGCTTTGCCGCCATCAAGGTCATTACGATCGCCGGTCTTTTAATCCTGGCGTTCGTTATCTTCTGGGGCGGTGGTCCGAATCAGAATGGCATTCTGGGATTTCACTACTGGAAGGAACCGGGTGCGACCGCTACCTACCTTGTCAACGGACCTACGGGGAAATTCGTCGCCTTTGTGGAGACACTCGTTCTGAGCGCCTTTCCCTTTGTCTTTGCACCCGAGCTTCTCCTCTTCACCAGTGGGGAGATGCATAACCCCCAAAAGGACCTTCCGAAGGCTGGTCGCCGCTTCACTCTCCGTCTCATCGTGTTCTACATTGGCTCGGTCTTGGCCATCGGGGTCATGTGTCCTTACAATGAAGATGCGCTGATCAACGGGGGCGAGGGAGCCAAGTCCTCACCCTTCGTCGTGGGTATCCAGCATGCGGGGATCCATGGCCTGGGAAGTGTCGTTAATGCTGTGATCTTGATAACTGCATGGTCAGCGGGGAGTGCCTATCTGTACATGAGTTCCCGAGCTCTGTATTCTTTGGCGGTTGCAGAACAGACACCCGCCATATTCAAAAAGTGCACCAAAGACGGCGTGCCATATGTGGCGGTGATGGCCTGTTCCTTGTTTTCGCTGCTTGCCTATCTGAATTGCGGGACAAGTAGCTCGACGGTCTTTCAGTGGTTTGTCAACATCACCAACACGTCGGGCTTTCTCTCTTGGGTGTGCTGTTGCATTGTGTACCTGCGCTTTCGAGCGGCTTGGAATGCTCAGGGAAGACCAGCACTGCCCTACCAAAGCTGGGTTCAGCCCTACGGCGCATGGGCTGCCATGCTTTTCTTCGTTGTCTTAGCTTTGATCAATGGTTTCAACGTCTTCTTTCCTGGCCAATTCTCGGCAGCAACCTTTGTCACAACCTACATCGGCATCCCGGCATTCTTTGCACTTTATCTTATCCACAAGGTATGGAGAGGACACTCCGATCCTTGGCTTTATCCGGCGAGTGAGATTGATATCCATGAAGGCTTGGAGCATGTACATGGTGAGAGGCCAGCTTCAGAAGAAGAGCCCGGTCCGAACAAGCCGATGTAAATTTATATTAGCCAATATAATTGCTACCCTAACTAAACTCAACTATATCCCTTTGAGCAACGGTAATTGGTAAACGAGCGTAAAGCATAATGAGTTAATACCCTCCCTATTCTGCTGGAATAAGTGACTTGAGGCATAGTCAAAGTTAGCTCACCACGCATGATTGTTCACGACAAGAACGATTTCTGCATTACATTCTTCCTTTGTATGTTGCTATTTTTATTTCTTTAGTTTGCATTTTTATCTCATTAATTTTTGTTTTCTTTCTTTTCCCCGTTACAAGTAGGCAAGCAACCTGTTATCATGCTGGTTAAGAAGGTCTTGAAGGTGTGGGTATCCTTAGATTCACATAGCGGGGCTCGATTCAAACCAAAGCATGCATGCATGGTTTAGTACCTACTTTACTAGCACTCAAAACGAGCAGAGAAGTTAGAACACCCCCTCACGGGTGTTGGGTGGAGAATGAACGGAGTAGTACGTACTTTCTATCTCTATCTCCATGTACCCGAGACTCGAGACTCCAATTCCGTACTAGCGAAAAGCGGAGTGCGTCAAAACGGGAAGGCGCCTCCAGAGTTTCGGGGCTGATCTCCGAGCCTCAGGCAAAAAAAAAGCGCTATATCTCCCCTAGTAATGCAAAGTAACAGGCTAAACCTAGACTCCATTACGTACGAAGATTATCCCCTTTCTTTCTTTCTTTTACCATTCATATCATATTTTAGTGGTAGTGTAGTTCAAAGACTAAAAGTATTAATTAGAGTGATATTGCTAGCCAGCCAGCGAGCCAGCCCGCTTGATCCTCGTACAACAAGAAGGTTTTAATAATTAAATTCACCAAAACAAGTTACAAGAATCATGTCGAATCTTTTGGGACACCCGGTAGTCGAGCTCCATCGGCGTATATGTCAAGTGGAATCGATCACAGGCAACGAGCGACCTGTGGCGGAAGTGATTGTGTCGTATTTGGAACAAAAGGGGTTCACGGTTGAGAGACAGATTGTCCCGTCTTATTATCCAGAAGAGCGGTTTAACATCCTCGCCTATCTTGGGGCGGAACGAGATACCAAGGTCTGTCTTTCTAGTCATATTGATGTGGTATGTATAGTCCCAATCTGAACGCGAGAAGCTTTCCTTTTCCACACACTGCAATAGACGGGGTGGTTAATTAAATCTCCAATTGCATTAGGTGCCACCATACTGGCCTTACGAGCTTGTTAACAACGACACGGAAATTCGGGGTAGGGGCGTGGTGGATGCCAAGGCGTGCGTTGCTGGCCAGATTATTGCCGCGGAAGAGCTGCTAGCCGCGTCACTGATTAAACCTGGGGATCTCTCGTTGTTGTTTGTTGTTGGAGAAGAAACCGAAGGCGATGGCATGATTCATGCGAATCAGCTGGGGTTGAGTTGGGATGCAGTGATCTTTGGAGAGCCGACGGAGGGAACCTTGCCACAGGGCCATAAGGGAGTGCTTAATATGCGTCTGACAGCTACGGGGAAAGCGGCGCATTCGGGATATCCGCAACTAGGGGAGTCGGCGATCGATAAGTTACTCGTTGGGCTACAGGAGCTGCGCCAGTTGCGGCTTCCTTCGAGTGAGCGGTTTGGACAGACGACGATGAATATCGGTTGCATTCGGGGTGGTGTCGCGCCGAACGTCATTCCTTTCTCGGCTGAGGCGGAGATTATGCTCCGGGTCGCTGGGTGCACGATTACGGAGCTGAAGGCGATGATCGAGAGGGCTTTGGATCGGGTTGGGAATTCTTGTACGATCACGTATGGACCGGATGCTTGTGAGCCTGTTCAGATCGAGAGTGATGTGCCTGGCTTTGATACCATGGTGGTCAGCTATGGGACTGATATTCCCAATCTGAAGGGGAATCATAAGGACTACCTCTATGGGCCAGGCTCTATTCATGTTGCTCATACGGAGGAAGAAGTGTTGAAGGTGTCTGACCTGGTGGCGGCTGTCGACGCTTATCGAACACTGGCACTGCACGCGTTGAAGAAATAATATGGATATATGAGCGCCTCAGGCAGTTTTCTGTTTTAAGAGTAGAACATCTGATGAACGTTAATGTCACTCGTATACTTCTGTTCTTTAATGCTAAGAACATTCCAGTGACTTGCTCAAATAAGAATATAGATACATATATACACGTATTGCCTACCTACATGCGCACGTCCTGCGGCTACATACCCCGTTCCAACTACTCTTCAAATTGCTCGTAAATGGGCTAAAACACCTGGAGGGGTGTGGCATGTCAAACAGGTATTATCCGTATATTTAATGCTTCAAGTGCCTTCCTCCAATCTAGCGAAGTTGGACTGCGATCAAGAATTGCCCAAACCTGGTGGATGGTAGCATGCTGTTTCGAAAAGCTTTTCAATCTATAGGCTTGCACCCGAATCCACCATTGGTCCCAATTCTGGCGCATCTCACCTACGGCTTCACACGAGGCGATGTACGCGGGCCACGATATCGGTGCTGGACGAGAAGTGCGGTCAAAAAAGCAGGCTTTCAAATCTTCAGCCTCGTTCATCGCGGCTAATGTGGCTTCTTGCTCCACGCAAAGGCTACTGGCATCGCAGTTCTGCACTGAGCGATAGTAGTAGATGAGTGATGCGTAATGAAAGGCTTTTGCTTGCGCGTGTGCAACTTGGATGGCTTGTTCTTCTTCTGACCCTACTGCCGAGAAGCTTTCGGAACACATTGTCCAGGAGCATAATTCATCTCCCAAAGCTTCACAGGCCTCCATGAGGCCTGGTGGGTATGACTGATTCTTGTAGTATGATAGGTGTTGGGTAGCTAGGTATATCTTGTCAATTGACCGGGCAATGGCGGAGGTAATTCCGTATAGATACTCGATACTCGGATTCGAGTAATCACAAGCCCTTGCTTCAAAGCAGGGGTTTTTAGAGATCCAGGGCAAGGGCTCCATGCTGGGCTGCGCCGTCTGAGCGAAAAGACGAAGCATCGTGCATATTGCGTTCAGTTGGCCGGTTTCCCGGCTGATCAGGGGGGAGTGATGGCGGGAAGCCTGGAGGCGGAATCCTGCCTCTAAATGGATCCAGTGATCATGGACACCACCATCGAGGATCTTCATCACGTACGGATGTCAGAAGGAGGTCACAGGAAGCCGGCAGTGGGAGGCACTTACGTCCATAGAAACTAGAGACAAGACGCCGATCATCAACTCTTTGTATGTACTCCTTTTCTTGGAAAGAGCGCACCGAAGAGCGACGAGGGCTTGTTGTTTGTGATGGAAAGCTAGACGCTCTAGATCTCGGTTTTGTAAACCTAGCCCCAGTACATGAAAAGCAGCGGTGGTCAACAGGCTGTGGAACACTGCTGCTCTAGCCGACATGTTGCCGCCCAAATCTCGATAGCCTTCCAGATAAAAGGACCCTTCAATTGCTAGCGGGAGGTATAAGGAGCGAAAGGGATTATTCTGGTGTGCAACAGGTTGCATGAGATGGGCAACGTGCTCTGCGTAGTGATTGATCAGTTTTGCCACTGAGTAATTATAAGCCCCAGAACTGGAAATATTGTGACGTGGTACCGAAAGCGCTGTGTTTAGAAGCGCAAGTTGCGCGTCGTGAATTCCTTGTAAGCCTGATACACGCTGAAGTCTATTTGGATGGTTGTCGCGTCGCTCATTGACTGGATCATGGGGGGACACTGTAAAAGTAATATCCTGATCGCATGGATGGATTATATCTGAATTTTCATCCATCTCATCTTGGCCAATATTGATATCATGAGGATAGTTAAGATCGTCCGAAGGTAGCTCTAGACTATCATTGAAACAGGGCTCCTCTCCGGCAGAGCCATCGAGTGTAGGCAGATATATTGTGCTTTCATCTTGAAATAGAAGGTCCGATTCCTTCATAGGGAAAGAAAGGCCATTGGAGCCAGGCGTATCAGGTGTTATTGCTGCCGGATGTTCTGGGTCTTCCTGTAGGCTTGACACGATGTCATCCTTGAGTTCGGGCCAACTATATCCACACACAGCACTTTCCACCAGCGAAACTGACTCCATATGGCCGTTGTGATCAAGAGGCTGCAGGCGAAAGACTGAGAATGGGCCAGCTATGGCTTCGGCTTCCGGCTCTCTATCGAGCATAGAGAGAGCGCTGGCAAGCTCCTCGTCCGCCATATGCCAATTGATACATACCTCTTTGAGACTAGAGCTCAGCGACTTCTCGGCTGAGATCCAATGGGAGACCGAAACTCACCTGGGTTAATCCTCATCCGACTCCCGCCACGCTCAGGGACTGTCTTGTTCGAATCCATGCCCCATTGCAGACGAATGCCATACCCAGCGCAAGATAGACTATCTTCCTCGCATCTTCTGCACGAATGGGGTCTTTCGTCACATTTGATGCGTCGTTTTCGACATGTCCAGCAACTTCAGCAAGATTAGATTACGGTTCCGAGGGATGGGGAGGCATGCCGACATTACCCGCTATAGGAGATGGTTCTAATCCGTGATCTTCGGGATCCCTTTGAATGATACATTACGATCACAGTATATGTGCATTAGCTTGACTCAAGAATGGCACCACCAGAGAGGATTCAAATCTAGATAGCAAGTGTCCGGGGAGCATTTCCTTATCTGCGGGGTAAGCTGCCCTTTCCCGGATTGGTTAAAACATCCGCCGAACGAGGTGATCTCCAGTCTAGTGACCGGACTAACTAGATCTAGTTAGCTCTCGCCTAGTCCACTGTAATCTTGTATTTGATATACGGAGGCGTATTCAAATTCCAACAGGAGAACAATTATAGGAGTCGCAAAAGTCGGCGCTACAGGGATCAATCCACCCGATGCGTCACAGCAGGGCTGGCTATAGCCAGTAGTTATCCGCCATGGTGCAGCTATCACTAGCTGTGCTACTTGATTCTAAGGTCATCTATAAAATTTATAATATATTTGGATAAAATTGCGAGTAGTAAAGTGTCAAGCGATTGAGAAGCGAGTCGGGCCACCCTAGTGTTAGCTATACTTTATACCTAGTAGCGCTTTCCTACAGCAGTGTTACTTCTAATTATAGGGTTCTCAGGTATTACTATCGTTCAAGGGAGGAATTCCTTTGTCTTGCTATGTAAATCAACGTTTCCTTGCTACTAGAGATATTTGAAACTCAAAAAATCGAAGACATCTAACGAGCGAGCAGGAGTTCTATGATTATACATGTAAATATGGTTAAACCATGAAATTCAATTCCCGCCTGCACTCGCCGTCAACTCGTAGTTCTGGAGCTTAAGTGCAGGCAAAGTCTTGGGCGTGAAACGCCCAATATTCAAGCCCTAACCTGGTCATTCGAATAGTCCGAGCGCCGTACACAAATTTCATCCTTACGGCTGCCACTCGACTTCAATGAACCACATCGTGCTCTTCGGGGGCTGCCAGGCATTCAGGAACTTAAATCGGGGGTCGGCCATTTTGAATAGACCTATCCAGTCATCCAAAGCCCTTTCACCGGTATTGGCCACTGCCAAACACAAAAGATCCATGCATCTAATGCTTCGGTAATTCATCCATGGAACAGTACCGGGCTCGGGGATCACGCCGTCATTGACGACAACTTTCGCTCCTTTCTTAAGCACCGGAATCAATGACCGCAAAACCTGGACGGCATACTTGTCCGAAAATGCATGAAAGACCCAGCGAAAAAAGTAGACGTCGCCTACGACGGTCTGTGGTTTCAACAGATCATGTACTTCAAGCCTCACTCGCGACTTGAGGTGTTGTGGCACCGCAGCCTTTGTCTCTTCTGTGATGGTGTGTTCTTGATCTTGAACTACAAAGGTTAGGTTGGGGTGTGCTTGCGCAATCGCCATCGCGGCAAAGCCTGCACTGCCGCCACACTAAAGCCAAGATAGGAACATCAGAAATAAAGTCCATGGATTGTCACAAGCCAAGTAGGAGGATGGTACTCACGTCGACAACCGTTCCCTTACCAAGGTCCGCCCATGGATAACCGGTCACGGTGTGCGAGATATCGAAGCCAACCCCACCACCGTGTGCCTTCATGCTTTTGCTATATCTGTCGGCGACCACGTCATTGCGGGAAGTGTGATCGAACCAATCGACATTATGATTATAGGCCACGTTAATACCAGTCTCATTTGGCTCCCCACTCCCGGGCCATCGCCTTAGAGCTTCAACGGTGCAGGCAAAGCCAGGCCATATGTCATTACACAATAGACCCACCCAAGCATCCAAATTTTCCTCCTCGAGAAGAACTCGGGATGCCCGGTTGTGCGCAACGAATCCAAGTTCCGGCTCGCAGAAGAAGCGGTTAGTGATAGCGTGGCGGATGATCCGTCGGAGGGTGAACGGTGGTACAGAAACTCCACTCAATTGATGGCACTTCTCAGCCAGGTCTTCGTAAGATATTTTGCCAGTCAATGGGACGGCCTGCGGGACCCTGAAGGCCCAAATGGCCTGTAGGGACAATGGATCCATGGCCTGCAGAGCGATGTCAGTAATCGTTCTTCTTCCATTTATCTTTATTTGTATTTATATTTATATTTCTTTTGTTTCCCATATAAATGAAACTTGCCCAAACCTACATCCCAGCAAATGTTTCGAATATAATCCTTTGGACCGTGAGCAAGTGCATAGAGCTCTTTTGATGCTGTAATCAACTCTAGACGAGCTTCATACGCCTCTTTGTCGTCGGGGGAAATTGCATAGTCCGCTAGCCCGTCGACATCGAAAGAGGGAGGCTCCAGTCCTTTGGAGGCCAGGAAATCCGAGATGACTTTTGTCTTCTCCGCTATGACATTGGATAGTTCGATCAATCGATTTGGAGATGCCATCTTCGGATTTTTGGGTTGGAATATTGAGAAGGATAATCTCCTTGGAATGTGGTGAAAGTAGGTAAAAAGGCGATTTGGTGATTTTGTTTCTCTTTTTTTACTATTTTTGTAGTTACCCTGGGGTTGGCGAGATTTTATAATCTTAGATTGAGCTGAACAACGTTTAAGGCCACCCTATATTATGCTTTAATTCTACTTGCATTCCCTTTTCCCATTGTTCTATCTCCACATTACCCCGCCATAGAAATGGGGCTCCCGAAGCAAGAGGGGCACGGATAAAACATGCGGCAGCGGGTAACCTGTACTATGGCGCGCGTCTCCGTCGTTTAGATTTAACCAATACCCTAATGTGTATCTGGTTGTACTAATTCAAAGGGCCGCCACGTAATGTATGTATGTACGTACATACTTTTATGCGCATAGCCCCCCCCCCAACCTCGGCATTCTTCCTCCCCACCACTGCCATATGCCAACGTAGTGAACAATGCCTTGATGCTACCAAATTTGACATGAAATTGGATTGAATTGTTTGATCTGGTCAAGCCAACTCCATGTAGTGATTCTTGTAGGTGGATGACAGGAATGACATCCAAAATCAAGTGTAATGACCGTGGTCAGGCTACGGGATCCCGGCCAAGGAATAGCGATAGAAATACGCTAGGGGTCATATATCAAGATAGACATTTTTGTTCTTTGAGTTGATGTAGGATAGCCCTAACCAGGGCATGAATTTATTTTATATAGTTCAGGTGAGTTGGAATGTATTTAAGCAGTACATCCCTTGAGTCAATTCTAGCTCTAAACTAGCGATCGCACGGCCGAAAATCAGTTGCAACCGAGGTAGGAGCAACTTTATAAATCAAACTCCCCACATCAAAAACAACAATCACCAGGAGAAATGGGATCTTCAGGCTAAAGAGGAGATATGTCTTGCCACCTTGTTGTTGTTACCAAACAACGGAGTGAAAGCGGATGTCAAGCTTACAAGCTGTTGGGAAGCCAGCAGTAACCAGGAAGAAAGCCAACCCGTAACAAGCTACGTCTGCGGACTTTGAAAGTCATCGATAATACGTGGGATAGCCGTCACAATAATGGTCTAAGAAGCACGATAAATGTAACTCTTTGTGAATCCTGGCGGGCTCTGGAGAAGAAAGCGTCGAAGTCACGAAGTCCAACGAAGTCAAGAGAATTGCCAAGATGAAAGCAAAAACTACGAAGGTTAGTCATAAGCCCCTTGGATATTCACCCACATCGCTAGGCGAGCTTCGGGATTTCTATTCATGAAGCGAGTACTGCTCTGGAGCATCATCAGCACTTTCGTCGTCTACCATCTTAAATCATAATGGTAGAGACAAACCCGGAGCTGAGAGAGTCGTACTTTAATTCTGGCACCTATCACCATACCTTAGACACCGGAATTAGGGGGTAAATGAAAAAGGGGAAGTAGCATGCAATCGATGTTGCCCTTGACACCCTTGTTGAGTGATCGGAGTTAGGAGATAAGAGAGAAAGACGACGAGCTTGCATGCTCAAGGCTGAAAGAGATACGCTTATCGAGGGTCCTTTCCGGTTCATCAGTGGATCATCAGTCCGCTTAACGCCGTGCAATGTCCGGTCCATGTTGGTGTCTTATGCCCACACATTCAGCCGTCTGGACCACTCACAATCCCTTCAATGGCCAACTGCTCAATTCCCGCAGAATGAGTATGAGTGACACTGGTACTAGCTGTCCACTCGTAAAAGATTCATCCAAGGTGATTACAAACAGTCACGGTGATAATCATGAGTTAAAATCGAGCAAATGTAGCCGAAACCGGGACTTTGATTGGCGAAATGGAGTAGCGGGAGGGGTTGCAGGCTGCGCAGTGAGTCTTCCCTTCTCACTACGCAGGATTTATTCCTGACGCAACATATATATAGGCCAAGACTATTGTTGCTCCATTAGAGAGAATTAAGATTCTCTTTCAAACGTCGAATCCGCTTTTCTTGCGTTATTCAGCCCGGTGGAATGGTTTAATCGAGGCGGCCAGTCACCTTCGAACGTCGCATGGGATCTCGGCGCTCTTCAAAGGTCATTCAGCGAGCCTGATCCGCGTTTTTCCGTATGCTGGTATCAACTTTCTCGCATACGAACAACTCCAACATGCAATCATCATATCACCGGAGACAGACACACCGTTTCATCGATTCCTCTGCGGGAGTACAGCGGGTGCCATTTCTACAATCTTCACATATCCTCTGGAGTTGATCCGTATCCGTCTTGCTTTTGAAACAGAACAGAACAAAGATTCCTCTTGGTTCAGGATTGCTCGACGTATCTACTTTGAACGCGGTGGGAATGGTAGTCTATTAAACTTTTATCAAGGAATTGCCCCGACTATGCTAGGCATACTTCCCTATGCGGGCACATCATTTGTAACCCACGATTTAGTGAGAGACCAGCTGCGCTCACCGTTCTTTGCGCCTTATACTCTGGAAAAGGGATCATCCACTCGACTGACCGCAATTGCACAGCTTTGTTGCGGAGCAATCGCTGGTATTGTTGCTCAAACGGTTGCTTACCCAATTGATATCCTTCGGAGACGAATGCAAGTCGGAAGTGTGGTTGGTAGCAGATCAGGAATTCTAGAGACAGTTCGTCGCGTAACTCTGGAAAGGGGAGTCAGGGGTTTCTATGTTGGCATGACAATTGGCTACATGAAAATGGCTCCCATGGTGGCGACGAGTTTCTATGTCTATGATCGAATGAAGCGATTGTTGGGCCTTACCGATTAATGGTACTGTTGCTGCTACCTGGCTCAACAGACGAATGATACTCATTAAGCACCGCCGTTTCTTCACATGGCGACGCCAATATCTACGACTTAGAATTGGAATTACAAAGAGTCAATTTATGTTACAACGAGGTCCACATACCGCTTTGAATCGTGTTCATACGCATAAATACGCATCCACCCCTGATGGTGAACGAACGCGAAGACGGTGGCCTTGAATCGTTTCTTGCGGCTATCCATGTCAACCGGGGAATTTTGCAAGCCCAGTTCAGCGCGGAAACAGCGGGCTACAGATATTACTTTGAGATAGATGGAATGTATACCATAGTACTTAGATGTTCAAAGACTTTTGTTGTCAGGCCAAGGTGAGTGAGTGGGTAAGGACTGAGAGACAAGGCTGGGTCAAACTAGTAAGCATCAGCGCAAAAGAATTTGCAATAAACATTTCGGTTGTCCAAAGCCTCTCATGTTGATTGTTTGCAACACAAGAAGAATTGTCTCTATGCAAAGGGGCCGGAAATATTGAGAACTCAGTTACGTCTATGGGGGAAGCCTTCATCTCCTCCGCACTCCGACTCACGAGATCCAACTCAACCGATGCCAAGTTCTCTGCCCCCAACTATTGAAGACGCCATAATGCTGTTCGAGCCCTGGGTGGTCGGTATCTCTGGGTAGATAAATATTGTATCGACTATAATTTCCCGGATGAACAACGGGAGCAACTATCACAAATGGATCTGATTTATAACAATGCACATGTCATGATAACTGGGGCCGGATCGAAGGTTTCAGACTCCGGTTTACCTGGTGTGGTCACTGTAATACGACGTCCTCAACCGCAGGCATTTTCAAGAGGAAGGCGATTTGTTTCCAAGCTACCAGATCTCAGGGAGGCTCTTGCGGATTCCCCATGGATTAGTCGTGGGTGGACATTTCAAGAAGGCTTGTTATCCCGAAGGTGTCTCGTTTTCACCGATTATCACGTTCATTTCATGTGTGGACAGACCAGCCAGTGCGAGCCCTTTATGACCAACTACCGGTTGAGATCACGGCGCGCAAATGAATTTTCTAGATTATGGGACCCAGAATTTCTCTCCCCCCCCCCCTCCTCTGAAGCAAGGGATCCGAACTACTTCAAGACGAGAAGCTTCCAGCGACGCTCAGATATTGGATTTTTTCTGGACGGTACTCAATGCGGTCTTTAACATATAGCTCGGATGCCATCAATGCTTTTCGTGGTATCTTGGCACGAGTGAGTTAGCCCGGTTATTGGGGCATACCTTTCATATTCATGAGTATACCAACTCTTCGGCTCGAAAAATTAACCTAGGTTATGCTACCGGCGTTAGTCGGGAACTTTTACAGTCTAGTGCTTTACCGATCTGTCCAGCTATGGAAAGAAGATCCGACTTTCCAAGTTAGTCTTGGGCGGGATGGAAGGGCTCCGTTCGCTACTGCGAAATTGATCCTAGAATGGCGATACGATGCGACCATTTGATGTGTGAACCGTGGCCACAAGAGACCTACTTTTACACATCTTTCTCCCCGGAGATTTGAGTGAGAAATGGGCAGGACCTGGTACGACTTGAGCATTACTTCAATAAATTCAGGCAAGGACGGATGCTACTACCAGAGACTTCACCACAGTTAATCATTGACTCGAAGGTATACAGGCATCGACAATGCTCAAAGAAGATAGTGAATATCCTCGCCCGCCTGGATACTATCTGCGTATTGGTGAATCGATATCCAGGGTTCCTATCTGGCTCTTCCACGAGCCCCTACATGAAGACACCGAGCATGCATTGGGCGTTTCAAATCAGTATGATGGCATTGTGCCTTTCCAGAGAAAGGAACAATATTCTCAACATTCATACTATTTTGTTATGCCAGTCCAGCCCTGTAGTGAGAATATGAATGAGCGTCTTGAATCCATTTGGATAAGGCAGGACGAGCTGGACGAACTAGACAAGTTACAAAAGAAAATCATCGTCAGCTAAAGCCTGGCTGAGTCGGGCTTTCTGGTACATTTTGGGGGCTTATATAATGGCATTCAAGGCAGAAAGCTAAGGAAATGTGCGGTAATCTGTAATAGGCCAAACCTCGCCATTGCTTCGAGGAAAACTTCCTATCTTCGAGTAACATATTGTATGTAAACCCAGAACTAGTTAAGTAAAATCACAGAACACCAACCTTGAAACCCGACAATCACTCCGTGTATTTTCCTACTCCTGGAAAGTCTTTAATTGTTTTACCATTCTCATACCGAGTAGCTAGGCCTGTAATCCAATCTATCACCTTCTCAGGCGCACTAGCTGTAGGAATATGTCCTGTTTGGATTACCGTCACATCCACCTCCCTGCCTGCTTCTCTCTCAATGATCTCGATCTGCTTTTGCTGCACCCCAGGCGGAATCACCTTATCCTCCGCGCAGAGCAAATACGAAACCGGTACATCCTTATACCCAGCATACGTCAATGGACCTATAAAGCTAGCAGCCGAGTGTCGGGGAGACCGCTTCATCCACACCTCGCCTTCCTCGGCCGGAAGGTCCGAGAAGCATAATGCAGCAGACGCGGCATGATTAGCCATGATCATGTATCCATGTTCCTATGGTATTCATTAACAACCAATCCACATTGGAAAGGAATATCCCAGGAACTCAGAAATAGAGAGGGTGGGGTTTATAGGGTACGCACATCAGGTCGCAATTCAACGCGATTTTCAGCCGGAATATCAGCCAACATATCCGCCGCCGAAGCGCCCAATTGTGGCACCAGCGCCGTGAGATACGCCAAGTTTACGACTCCGCCAACCTTCCCACTACCCTCTATCTTGGCTAGTCCTTTGATGCTCTCGCTGGCAGGCACCCCTCCATATGAGTGAGCCACCAAGATCACCTCTTTTCCTTGGTCGACTAGCGCTGCGACCTCGTGCGCAATCGCTGCGGCGTCATCGTACATTGTTGCAGGTTGTTGGAGGTCCTCGGTGCTGCGAAGACGAATGGCTTTGATCTCGTAGCCCTTGGATGCTACTCCATCGGTCACCGCGTCATAGAACTCCGGTAGGCTGAATGAGCCGGGGACAATGACAATGGAGGGTTTAGATTGAGACATGATTCAATTGCAGACTGGTACTGCCGTATCAAATGAGACAGGTCTGACTTCGCAGGATTGAGCGGGCTGAGGTTGATGTAGTATTGATGATATATATATGGTCTCGGACGAGACATGGTTAGTATTTAAATCAATTGCTTAACTGCATACCCTGCCTAGCATCATCCATCCGATGTGATTTGAAATCCGACCGGATGCATTATAAATACAAACATACGGTAGAGAGCACGCCATTTAGAACATGAAAATCGACCCAATCAGAACGCTTCTGCATACCTATAGCAGCAGGACTAGGATAATAATCAATTGGATCTTGGTTTGGATCGCAATGAACCTGTTTCGTGTTGAGGACTTCTAGTCCCATATCAAGCGCATAGAACGGGAAGCAGCATAAACGATGGGCTGTTAATCTACGTAGTTATCAAGCGTCTGAAAGGCAAGCATAGTGGTAAGCACGTTTTGGTGACAGGAACTGGTACTGTGGAACTAATTTAGATAGGAGACTGGTGTAATGGGGCCAAAAAAGCATGAACACACGAACTCCCTGAAAAGCTGCCTTGGCTTTTTGTATTTTGAACTCTATATGGGTATACAACTCTAGTCGTGACTTATATGATCCAACAATTACACATCTATTGGTCGATTTCCTTTCTAACTTGGGCGGCCCAGTTGCTCCATGTCATTCAAGCAGTTGAACAAATGAAATATTTTGGTAATCTCTTCTGACAAACAGGAATATATATTTCCGACTATTCGCATGGATCTCACTAGTCAACAAATGGCAACATCTAAGAAGACAGCAAAAGAGTTCAATTAAGTATCCAGGAATTACTTGGCTAAGTTATGCAATCCAAGCTATTCAAGTAGTTTAACCATCATAAACAAGGAATGGAATCTAAGTCCCTATACCACTAAGTGGAAATAAGGATGATATGCGTGGCCGGTTGAGGTATGCCAAGGTGTCGGTAAAATAAGATGATAGTACTACACCATACCTAATGAAGCCTAGCCAGTATCGATGGACCCACTTTTATTTATCGGCGTGATATGTAACTACGACTCTGTGAATCTTCATAATTACTCTTCGCAAGGCTTAACATCATACTCTACGTCCGTCCTGATAATATACTTCGCACCCTTCCTTACCCCAGTTCCCTCATGTAACAAGGCACCATTGGCCTCTCCGTGCGGGAAGATCGCAACGGCTCCCATGACAGGTCGCACCGGGTATGCATTGAGGGTCCCCTCTCGCGCAGCTGGCATAAAGAACGTCGTCTCACCGCCCTCGAACTCATCATTCAGATACAGCAGGAAGGTATACATAGAGCTCTGCTTCTTGTCCTCCGGCGACGCGTCATACACATACGTGTCATCGGGGAGGATGCCTGACGGCGGCCAAGCTCCGTCAATGTGGCAGCGGTACTCGGCGCCGGGGACGTATCGATATACACGGAAGCGTCGATTGATACCTCGAGCTAGGCGGCCATTGATCGACTGAGGTACGTAACGGGACATTCGCGCCCAGAGCATGTCATGGAAAGTGGTGTCGACAACCCAATAGAAGTTGTGGGCTAGGATGCTCATGTCGCCATCTTCGCGGAGGGGTGCGTCGGGCAGAAAATTGACGGATTCACCGGCCGCAATAATTGCCTTGCACTCGGCGGGGGAGAGGACATTCAGGGCAAGGCCAAGACCTGGCACAGCGGGATGTGGATGGTATGTTATGGTTGGCCCGACGGGGGCCAGCGGTACGGCGTTCGGGGCGGAGGTGTAGAGGATGGCGGGATGGTGGTTGGGAGGTTTGCGGAGGGGGCCGGGGGTTGTTTCGATGACGCGGAGGGCAGATGGTGACTTGGGTGCGTCAGCTAGAATGGACTTGTCAAGGACTGAGGCGTAGACAGGGAGTGGTGCCGTCGAGGGCCGGAGGTCCCAGATGGACTGGAAGGCAATGGGAGAGGTGGAGTCGACGGCATTCGGGTTGGTGTCAATCGGAGTGCTGACACGCAAGATGGCATCGAGGACGCGGAGAAGTTGTAGGTCCTTTGCGCTGCGTTCAAGGGGAACACGATCAATAGCGTCGGGTTGCGTTGAGAGGCCGCTGACGACGTCCAGATCCCGCACCCAGCGACACAAGGCTCCGATCTTGGGTTGTTCACCCCTAATTCTCATCTCGGCGAGCAGGATCTGGGCGTCAATATATTTCTCGTCAGCAAGAGCACCGGTGATTCGTGCCGTTAAGTTTGCGCCCTCTATCGAACAATTAGCTGCTGCTATTAATTAGCAATAACGCAGTAGCATACCAGCAGCGTTGACGCCCGTAGTGCAGGCCTGACGGAAGTCATAGACCGCGGCTCGCAGGTCCTTGCATGCCTTCGACTTGGTTAGGCTTGGGTATTGTGCGAGAGCCGTGAGTGTCTCGATCGTAATTTCGAGGTCCTCGTCTGGGACGACCGTTTTGAGGTGCTTGGGCTCGCCATCGGGAGGCGGTGTCAACGTAGGAGCGGCCTTTGGGACTTTTTGTGGGAGGTCGGCTTGCGCATTGCGCTTGCGCTTGGCAGCCTTGGATTTGGCCATGGTTATCTGTGGTTGATTGACAGATAATTGACTGATACGAGTGGGGGTTGGGAGGTTAGACTTAACGTTTGTGGGCGTATTCCGTCCCTGCAAAATTCCTGATTTGCCCCCACACAATTTCTGTTTCCTAAAATCTCGTACACTAGCCTCAAAGTGGACTAGTGGACAATACCAGAACCGGTAGGGTGTCGTGTTAATAGTTGTACTTTCATTCCAAGCCCTAATAACCTCCGTTTGGGACATGCTTCTCTTTACCTACCCTAGCTAATCTGCCTCAGGAAATGAACAGAACGACTGATGCATGCAAGCTATACCGAAATATGTGTCAATAGCGTATGTGAAGTGGTCCACCAAAATAGGTTTAGCGCATTTCTAAGCTATTCCTTTTCAGGGATTATACTATGGTCAATTTTGTACGGCATCTGGAGCGCCTTGTGAGAACACTTACACTGTGTACAGGTTTACAGTCCTCATTGAACCTACCACTGGAGAAAATGGACGATTATCTCTCTCCCAATGGCCTCATACATCATGTTAGTTCACATCCCCTTCATTACCACCTGACTAGCTTTTGGGGGACCAACGTCGGCAGATGCATTTAAATGGCCAGAAATCTATGAGCTATTTTATTTCTAGATGAATAAGCTCTCTTAAACTCGTATTCAATCGAGTAGTTTTGGGGTTTCTCTGAAAAGCAGCTTAAGAGAGACTTTTCACTACTATTCGACAACCCCCTGTCATAAATGAAGCAAAGTTTTATGGATGCCAAGACCAGGGTATAATGCAAAAATGGGGCTTTAGGCGGTATGCCTTGGCTGCGATGGTGGCCAGCAAGTGGCAAGATACTTAGTACTAGAAGACTTGAGATGTTCACGGTTCTATATCATCTTGTGTTGGGATTGAAACCGAATGAATTGCTTAGAGGCCTCAGGCCCTTTCCGCGTGCAAGTCTATCTATAGAGTACTAGGCTGGCAGCGGCGGGGTAATCAGTGCCTCAGGCAACAACCATGACACCCAGAAGAAGCCTTAAGCCCCCTTGGGGGCTTCTTTGCCAGCTATAGCTTGTTCTTCACCCATTGCTGAGATAACGGTAATGACTATCAATATCCAGGCGGTTAGTAATTAGCCCAGAGATAGACTGAAGGTAGTACAACGTCTACTTACGCAAGTCTTTTCCGCTGTTGAAATCATCCTGGATCATGTTTCCTAGCTCACCACCGGGAACTTTTACGTCGTCTTTCGCCGTCCCATCGGGTGTCATTAGATTGAGAAATCCATCGTCAATATTAACCTACCAGTCTTAGTATATATACATACAATAAGTCTTGGTAATAGCTTAGAATACTTACCAACTGATATTCAGATCTTCTTACATGAGGAACATCCACAGACTGAGTAGATTGAAAATCACCCGATAGAGTGCTGCCGGTAAAAATATCTTCACCAACTAGATGAACACTAGTTCCAGAGTTGTTGATCTCGACAATTTTACAGGGCCTCCCTTGGATTATAACATGGCTCCGTTTTCTAATGGCCGAAATTGGCATTGGATAGTTCGACGAGCCATCTGCCTGGCTTTGTTCAAAGGTACGATTATGGTCCTCGTCGTCCTGTATGATATCAGTTATTGCTGCCTTAGCGCAGTACATATTGTTTTTATGGGAATATGGATAAGATGTACACTCATGCTGGAATAACTTAGATTCGATATCGGCTTAACCTGAAGAAAGTCTGTATTGAGAGATAGAAGAAAGAAAATGAATTAAGGATCATAGATACATATATATAGTGCTCGACTTCACTTTATTGCAAAAAAGGCAAACTTGTGGGGGTGCCAAATTGGCTCCTAAGCTCAGCTCAGCCATCATAACCCGCATCATCTTGTATCCAATGATGCAAGTCAACGTGCCCAATATGCGGTGTGGCCTTTGTCTTGTGGGGCTTATTGTTGTGGCGATAATACCGATGTCAGTGGCACGGCCCAGTTTTAGCTGGCACTCGGAAATAACTGCAAGCTTCCGGCGTATTGTTGTTTCTATAATGATAGTGATCTAGATTTATACTCAGTTTACCAGAGTTAAGTGCATACATGAAGTGGGCCCGCCAGGGTGCCCTTCCTAATTGACACTAATTGTACCCTGCCACTTTTCGAGTGCAGATTCCATATCGATTCACACGGAAATCAGCCATGAATTGATAGTAGAGAAAGTGGATATTTGGAGTTAGACCGAGGAAACCTTAAGCCTCAGTTAAAAAAAGTCTATTCAATTCTGCGCCGCGTGACGTACGACCGAATTATATGCCTCATTTTTTTTTAACCAGCTGCTACTCCGGAGTAAGTTATGCCCCCCAACCTTCTGTTGCTTGAGGCTCTGCAATTTGAATTATTTCATCGCGAGAGGTTCCATCGTTGGGTTTTGATGGCAGGCTGAAAGAAATACCTCAATTAGGTTTCTTGCAGGACGTTCATGATACACAGGTATTAGTATATTGACACAAAACACTGAACTTAGACCCGCACACTGAAGGACCGGTGACTTGAGGTCTAGACGCGTGTGCTCCGCGTTTGCGTAGGGCGAGCTTTAGCTGTGCCATAGATCTGTATACGCGATAGGTCCCTTCGTATCGATTGGGGATTAGGGGTCCTATGGTTAGCCTTTCGATTAAGACGATGGTTGTAGTAGGATATACTTTATGGAGGTGGCACATCCGGCTTTTATCACATGTTGGTAGGGGCTTCCTGGAGGCCCGGAAGTACGGGTTTTTCCGGGCCGCTAAGCGGGCCTAGCTAGGAAATAGAGAGCTTAGATAGCGAGAGATGAATTCATGAATAAATGAAGAAAGTCCTCCTGATCACGCATTAAAATCACATAAATACTATCAAGCAGGGCATTCCGTATGCAGCTTAGGAGAAAGAGGCAGCAGTGACCTATGTTCCTTTCTTAGGGCAATACTACGTATAGCACGTAATTCCATAATGGTGTCGTAGGGGATTCATAACATCAAGAAGACCTTCGAATAAACATAAAAGACTAAAACTGAAAGGTGGCCTATATATCACGTACAGCTCCATAATTTCGAAACAATGGCAAAGGTTTTCACTTTGCTTTATGAAATTCTATAACCTTTCGCCTTACCCTGTTTGGCCGTTCATACAGGTAGGACAACTTTGACCCCCATGTACTCTCGCTGATGCATGACCTTGCCATCAATGAGCACTTGATGGGCACCCACTCTGTTATTTATCGTATCCGTCGGGTCTGTACACGTAGCGATTTGAATTTCGCGCCACTGGCGGTTGGTCGGCACAAGTTTGCCCTGCGACGTGAGCTTCTTGAATTCCTTGTAAACTCCTTGCTCCTCGACGCAGCCCTCTCGTTGAATGAGTTTTGATTCTGGCAAGAGCCATTAGACTAGATCGCTACCAGTATTGTCCGCCTTCGATTGCCATTCACTCACCTTCTGCAGGAGCCATGTGCAAATCACCAACGGAACTATTAAACAGCACCAACGAAAGACGCTCCTCGTGCAGCTGGTCCGCGGGCGGCCTGAAGACACGGTGGCGAGTTGCCTTGAAATGTCCGCCCGACACAATCTCCAGTGTATCTCCGATGTTAATAACAAGTGCTCCGGGCTTGTAGGGCACGTAATACCATTGTTCGTCGCGGCCCCAAATCTGGAGACATGAGATAGGGACTGAGAACAATAATGTTGTCAAACCAAAGTCGGTGTGGCCGTGCATGCGAAGGCCTTTAGATGCTTCTTGGGTTTGTTTCTGGACGGGTCGGAAGAGCGCATGACGGAAGTAGCCTTCGCCGGTTGGGCTGCCGTGTGATTGTACATTGTCCCACAGATAGTCATCTGGCAACTCCAGGACGCGCGACAGGACGGTGAGAAGTCGTCGGTTCACGGACTTGGTGAGATAATTGCTGAACGCCTCGATCTCATCCATGAAGGGGTGTAGGCAGGTTGGCACACGGTTGATGTCTTCCCAATCGGGCTTGTACCAGTTGAATTGTTCGATGCCGTCGGGTGCCCCGCGGTGACGCTGGGGAATTGGGACAAACAGTTAGCATTCGGTTCAGTATTTTACACGTACAGGGCTAATGGCCTTCTACCTTGAATCCGTAGGGATGCTTGTAACCGGACCACTTCCCGCTGTCAGGGTGGAAAAGGAGTCGTTCTTTGTCCTCCTCGCTGATGTTGTTGTATAGGTATTGTGCCAGGGCGAATTGGCGATGCAGCTATTAGACGTATGAGAGTTAGTACTACTCCTCTTCTCTCTGTACCTTGTCCCTCTTACCTGTTCTAAAGAAACTCCATAGTTCTCGAGAAACAAAAAGCCATCATCACGAATGGCCACTTTGACCTGCTGGACAAGGTCATCGACCACAGCTGGGTCTTCGGAGTCCAGCAGTGAAAGGTCAATCGACTTGAGCTCGGCGAAGTTGTGCTTTTCCTTAGTAACAGGAGGAGGAACCCATTTTGGAACGAAAGGTTTGCCAGGAAGGTCGGCGGATGGTGGGTTGAAGGGGGCTGCGGGTGGCATGATTTGGTATCTGCAATGATATCTAGGTTTTGATTGATGTTGAATAGAAGGACTAGATGAGGCCTTCCAGTTGAGGTTTTATAATTTCTTCTATTTCATAGGATGATGGAGGTGAACATGTGGTACCTGAAGTCATACAATGTGCCTTGAGGCGAGCTCCTAAGTCAAGCAGGAGGAGCGCAGGCATGCGTCTTGGCTGACCCGCTATTGCACTCCATGGCGCCTCCACCAGCATTTTTGATAGAACATGTACTCGTTGCAACATTTCCGATGATTCCATGCCCGATAAGCTAGGCTCTCCGCCTTATCGAGCTCCTCCCGAAACTAATCTACTAAATAGTCGCCAAGGATAAGCTCAGATGTTCGGCTGTGGGGCGCGTGATGCGGGAGGAGCTCCTCCCAACTAGGGCTGGAGGAGCTTCGGCGAGAGATCCACTCGGCGTCATCGCGATGCAGAGTAAAAGAAGAGGGCCGATGTGGAATTTTAAAAGAGTGGTTTTCACCACTTTTGTAGTATCGTATCTCAAAAGTCATAATACAATTATCTATACATCCACTTCGCGTTGTTCTTGCTTATTCCGTGATCCTCAGCAAACATGTCCCGTCAACTCATCTCCAGCGAAAAGTTTCCTCCCAAGCCTCATAATTGTAAGTGACATTCTATCGTCTTGGCGATGAAGTCTGCTGTTTGCTGACCGATGTATCTCACAGGCCCCGCCGTCAAAGTCCCGGGTCTTGTCTTCTGCGCAGGCCAAACAGCTACCGGCGAGATTAAACAGGCAACGGTGAGTCTCTCCTGCAAAAAAGTACCTTATCTGTAACAAAAAGACTAATTATTACATGACTCTCTACAGAGAACCGTTCTACAGAATCTTAAAGAAGTCCTCGAGCTTTCCGGATCATCGCTTGAGCAGGTCGTCAAGTACAATGTCTATCTCGCCGATATGAAGGACTTCGCTGCCATGAATGAGGTGTACATCGATTTCCTCCCTAAGCCGATGCCATCTCGCTCGTGTCTCCAGGCGCTGCCTCCGGGTGATGGAACGGTTATTGAGATTGAATGCATTGCGCAGGTTTGAGACTAGTCATATAGAGGGTTTCGATATAATACATAGTAAACTTATTCATCTTACGGCTTTCACCATTAGTTACCTCTGCTGCCTTTCATCTTTAGCTATCATATTCACTTATTGCCATTATAAGAAGTAAAAAGGTGCTCAGCTTAGTTGTACATATGAATGAAAACTGGAACATGGACATATGATAAATGCGGCCCACACTCGTCACAGCAACGTTTCACACAAATATATCTATGGTCCGATTTATTGCTTGGAAAAATGTACACATACTTATATCAGATACAAATGATAGACTATCCATTGTTGTGCTACTTAATCTGATTATTGTGTGGTGCTTGTATTGGGAAAGATGTCCTACGGAAATTGGGCGAGGGAAGGAGGCAGTTGAACAAGATAGTATCAAAACTGAAAATATCGATTATCATTATTTGATCTCAAATAGGCATGTGTGACGAAGGAGTATCCGATAATGAATGCATATTATGTACCAAAAAAAAAAAAAAAAAGTGGTTGGTATCCCTAAGCAATAGTATGGAGCAAAATGGGGTATGGGTATAATGTTGGATTCGCTATCTAGTCTATAAGCCCTATATCATTACAGATATCAATGTCCTCTCCAACGCTTCATGACCGAGCAACTTCAAACTCGGAAATATACCAATTCTGAATCGCCTTGGTATCACCCGTGATGGCGACAGTGTCATATCGCTCTCTAGCCTCCTTGGCCATGGTACCATTGTTCACCATGCGCCCAGCCCACTTTCCATGCTTGCGTGCCGCCGCAATAATCTTATCAACAGCAGCGACAAACTCCGGCTCATCTCCACGGGCGGGCACATATCCAAGAAGCGACTGTGCAAGATCATTCGGACCAATGAAGACGAGGTCCACTCCAGGGACAGCACAGATTGCATCAACGTTTTCAACGCCCTCACGCGTCTCTATTTGAATCATCGTCAAGATTGTTTCGTTGGCGGAGATCATATATTCCGGGGTGGTGAGACCATGGCCGATAGCCGGGAAGGCTGAGCCCTGGCCACGCACGCCCTGTGGAGGAAACTTGGACGAGGCGACGATTTGTTGTGCTTCTTCGGCGTTGTTGATCTGCGGGACCATGATGCCATGGGCCCCTGTGTCTAGAGCACGCTTGATAATGTCGTGGGCGGGACCACGAATGCGGATAATGGGTGATACTCCCAGTGCTGAAATGGCAGAGACGGAGTTGTGCATGGAATCGTCGCTAATGTGACCGTGCTCGCAGTCGATGATGATACCGTCAACACCCGTTAAGGCAACAATCTGGGCCATGCGGACTGAGGGAATGGCCATGAATGTCATCAATGGGTATTCTCCCGCTCTGATTTTGTTCAAGAGCCTCAGACGAGAGTTCACGATCTCGGTCGTCTGAGGGGTGGGGTAGGTCTTTGTTGGGGCAGGCATTTTGTTGTGTATCTGTGTGATGATGATGATGATGATGATAATGCTAGTGATAATGGGAGTAGCAGCTGGTGACAACCTGTCTTTAATAACTGTTCTCTGTGATTGTGGGTGTGTTAATATCACTTGCTATCATCTTGAAGTATGTGCTCGGCTCATCTCCGACGGCCGAATTGGGAGGAGCTCCTCAAGTGCCGTCTTTTCACTCCTCCCGATAAGACCCACTCGGCTTTGATGCACCCCGGATTCGAACCAAACGTCTAATTGTCTAGGCAAGATTTCCAATTGGACTGATATCTTTGGTTCTATTCCCCTCTTTCCAATCTTTATCTATGCCAGCCCCACTATCGATCCGTCCGCGAATCATTTGACTCATAGATACTTGAACAGCCGTCCTGTTCAATAGCCGCTCGATGGCCTTGACAAAAACACACTGATAACAACCATTTCTTAAGCCTTTATTATGGACGCGAGCCTGGGGAGGAGCCCTCTTTTGAAATATATTCTCTCTCGAACAGAGAACAAGCTGCCTGCAACCGATCCAAAACATTAGAATCTGCTATTGTCGAGCAAAAAAGACTTCTTGGCTTTGATATCTATCGCCCCGATGGCTACAGCCATGGACACCAAAAAAAGGCCGCTGTCTGTGAAAAGTGATGACAACATTTCCGCTGCAGAAGGGCAAATTGATGTCCCTGACGCGGCATATCGCCGGATGCCAGAGAGTCTTCGCAACCTCAGCGAGGATGAACTGAATACCCTCAACAAGAAAATTGTCCGAAAGGTTGATTTTCTTGTGCTCCCGACCATTGGGATCCTCTACATTTTGAACTATGTCGACCGCCAGAATTTGGCCGCAGCCAAGCTCCAAGGAATCATGGAAGATCTCAACATGACCACCCAACAGTTTGCCACCGCAGTTTCGATCCTCTTCGTCGGCTACTTGCCCTTCCAGATTCCAAGCAACCTCATCATGACCAGGATCTCCCGGCCGGGCATGTACATCTGTGTTGCTGTCGTGATCTGGGGCTGTATATCCGCCGCAACGGCAGCAGTGAAGACGTACGGCCAGCTGCTTGCCGTACGAGCCATCCTTGGCGTTGCTGAGGCGGTCTTCTTCCCCGGTGCGATATACTACCTCTCTGCTTGGTACACAAAGAAGGAACTCGGGAAGCGCATTGCAGGCCTATATATTGCCCAACAAGTGGGCAATGCCTTTGGCGGGCTCTTCGCAGCAGCCATCCTCCAGCTCGATGGTGCCCACAACATCGCCGGCTGGGAATGGCTCTTCATCATCGAGGGCAGCGCAACAGTCGGCATCGGGGCGATATGTGCCCTCATCATGCCCGAGTTCCCGCACAACAGCCGCATCCTGTCCCAAATCGAACGCGACCTAGCCGTATGGCGCATCGAGTCGGAAGCCGGCGCTGCAGAAGGTACAGAGAACGAAAGCGTACTACGCGGCTTCAGGAAAGCCCTCTCCGATCCTAAACTACTGCTCCTCATCTTTGCAAACATGCTCTCTCAAACACAAGGCTCTATTGCCAATTACTTCCCCACGCTCGTCGCGTCCCTCAACTTCAATAATACCGTCAGTCTGCTCCTCACTGCGCCGCCTTACATCCTCGCCGGCGCTGTCTACTATGTCCTCATGTACTACTCTGACCGGAAGAATACCGTCTACCCCATCATTCAACTCTGCGTGGCCATCGCAATCGTCATGTACATAATCCCCATGGCAACACTCAATGTCGGGGCCCGCTACTTCTCCATGGTGATTTTGCCCTTTGCCTCCGTCGGCCCGCAACTCCTCCTCTACAAGACGATCAATCTGCATCTGGCACGACCAGTCTCCAAGCGTGCGGCTGCCTCTGCCCTGGTCAATGCTATCGGCGGAACATCTAATATCTGGGCTTCGTATCTATACTACGAGCCGCCGCATTTCTATGCCGCTTTCGGGACGCTAATGGCGAGTGCTGTTTTGCTGGCAGTGACGATGACTGTTTACCGGTGGCTGGTCTTGCGGGAGAACAAACGCTTGGATTCCGGTGATCCGGAGGAGATTGCAAAGGTTGTTCGGGGTGGTGTTACGGAAGAGATGGTGCAGCTTAATTGGCGGTATGAGATGTATTGATTTGTTGTATGATGTTTATAATCTGTGAAGTCTCTTGCTGTGGAAAGTCAAGTACAAGTAATTTATTCAGTTGTATGGCACGATCGGAATATACATTTAAGCCATGATATGCTAGTAATGGTAGTATGTAGATTATTAATCCCTATGCAGCCTCAACAATAGAGAGGTAAATGAAAGAGTAAACCAAACCCACCTCAACTCCCCAAACCATCCAAACAAGACAATATAAGCCTCCCAAGCTGCCATCTCTGCCTCCGCCGAAAGACCTTCCTCGCCCACTCCAACGCCCCCTCCACATCCCCATCCTGAATGCCAGCAACAAGCATCGCATTCGGAATCCCTCCCCGTACAAGCTGCCAAGCAATCAAAAAAGCCTTATACGCATACACTGCCACCCACGGTGCCTCCAGATCCGGTTCCACAGTAGTATCCAGATACCGGATGAACCAGTCAACATGTGGCTGGATGGCCTTCGCTGTGTCGGCCTCCCACAGGAACTCATAAGAAGGCGCGAGAGAAGTCGACTGACTCACCACAGCATCCAGACTCGCAGCCACAATACCACCCGTATGAGCTGGAGACCATAAATGAAGCTCGATCATGGCAGTTTCCCATGTTGCTGTCGCGTGCATTTCCTTTGTGGTCTCGGGTTGCGGCCGGATAAATGGGCCCAGGGAGATTAGCGATGACCGGAGAGCGTCGAGCCGGTCCATGCTGAGCATTCCGGTCATGGTGGACCAGCCGGATACTTCCCTGGCGCTGGAGATGAGGAATTGTGCGATGTTAATGGCCCCGTAGGGGTCGAATGTGGGGATAGAGTCTGGGTTGGCATCCGAGGATAGAAACCGGCGGACTGCGTCTGGGTACGGGACTGCCGGTCCGGGGTTTCTCGTGACGAGATGTCGGTGTGCCCATTCCGCGGCGGAGGATGCTGTCCATTGGGCTTCGGGGCAAGGGAGGTCATGCTTTACTTCTAAGTGGGAGATAGATCGGGGTATGGATAGGAATTGGTACCATAGAGCGTCGATCTGGTGGACGGCGAAAGACGTTCGTTTGTGTGACTCGGCTTTGATGAATTCTCGCCATAGCGCCTCTAGATCTTCGGTCGTGGAGGACTCGGTTGGCATTGGTTGCATGAGGCCTCCTGCTCGTGCGAGAGATATCATGTTGGAATGCATTTTGAGGCCGGATGCGGAGTCGTCTCCACAAAGGTACATCATGGCGCATATTTGTAGAAGTAGATAGGACTGGATGAGGGAGGTGTTTTGCCTTGGGTTTTCGGTTCTACCTTCCTCAGTGGTAGTGAAAGCACGAGCTTGATGAAAGCAACGGATGGATAGGCTTGCGCCTGAGCCGACTTGATCGCCACAGTCTGGGTCTTCGCCATGTTGATAGCCGAGGGAAAGAATACTGAGCAGCAGGTGTAGAGGGATATGTGTGGCGTCGAATGTTGGTTGGTGCAGAAAAGGGAGAAAGTGCGAAACATATTTGAAGAATAGGTCACAACCCTGTGTAATCTGCGTGGGTGAAGGTAACCAATCGCCCTGATCATTTGATGGTGATAAGCCAGGGCTACCTTGGCCAAATTGGCACCCAGCCAGATTTGTGTCAAATGAAGCAGACTGTGGTATAATTGCAGATGGCAATTGGTCGTCAAGTTCGTAGGTCGGCTTGAGAAAAGATGTTCCCAGTAACAGGCTCCGTTCCAATTCTATCGCATCTTGCACCATTCGGCCCATACAATCTGACTCGTTTATTGAGGGCCCTTGTACGGATGAACCTGTTACAACTTGGTCCCTATTTCTTTCAGCTGTCGCCGATCCGCTACTTCGCATAGTTGAGTTTTCTACATCGTGACCAGGGAAGAGTGGATGCTGCGCATGCGGCAACGGCGTATTCCAAATCCCACCATTCACCTCAAGCTCGCATTCATCACCCGAATTCTGCGGGTGAAAGCCATCCTGACTGTCAGGAGACGATTCAGAAGACAGATACACATCATGTCGTTCCGGTCTCCGTTCGTCGTTTACTTGCTTAGACGGGAGAGGCCCACGCAGCGATCGTTTGGTAGTCCGTCTCTGCTCATATTCCGGATGCTTTCTCTTCATATGTCGGTGTCGCAGATCCGGGCGCGAGAAAGTAGTCTGGCAAAAGTCACAGGGCAGCGAGGCCTCCTCCTGTGAGCGGGAATGGAGCTTGGCATGTCTCTTGAGGTTCTCATGTCGGGTAAAGCGACTTTGGCAGACATGACACTGGTACGGTTGATACGATGGTATCCGCCTGCTGGCGTGGGAGACAGACATTATATTATAAAGAAGCAATAGAGGCTTCCTTATGGCGTGACTGCGTCGGTTTGTCGAGATGTACAGGCGGAGAAAATCCCCACATACTAGTATCGGTTTCCCCGCACGGCCAAGCATCGGCTACTGTCCGGTTATCTAGATAAGGCTCTTGTATGTATGGTCCATTATCTCTTATCAGTTATCGTTGGTTATCTCGGTGCATTTCCATGATATACAATGCCGCTCCATGGGAATTCATTACGGAATAGCTAAGCAACTGGTGGGACGCGGCACAACTTTCCTTCCACAAGAAAAAGGAAAAGGAAAACATGTTAACGATTTATACTCCTATCAAGTTCTGAATAGTATTCATAATGTGTAGCAACAAAGAGAATAGAGTAGCTTAAGGAAAGGATTGAAAGTGCTACTTATTTGCGGCTAGAATACACCTAAACAGGGGTGATAGGGCTATGACACGCCACAACCCCAGGCGATCATGATGGCCAATGACGAACGCCATATTGTCACTCGACATAGACGAGACCACCGCTGACATCGGAGACCAGTAGTATCATGAGCCTTCCTAGGCTGCAGAATGAAACGAGGAATTTTGGGAGCGAGTGGGGCATGTGGCGGAGCTTTGGTAAATACTAAAGGGTCGCGGTCGCTGAAAATGTGGGCCGGGTCAACAATCTCCCCGACTCGCAAAGTGCATACCAATGATTTCGGGCAGCGGAGGATGATCTCGAGTTTATTTAGAGTAGTACTTGGATCATCTTAATATTGAAGCATCCAATTGATGGAGGAATCCCGCATGATCTTCACCGTTGGAATTAGAACCAGACAGAACATTTGCCACATTCAAATATATAAAGGATCAACAAGGGTGAGGTAGGCAGTCTGGATTCTACTGATATATATTTTAGCCAACTAGTACGACACTAATACAACGCCTGTTTTCGTTCCCCCCACACATTATACTGAACACTTATTACTATCCCAAGCGTCTAATACATTCGAGAGATGGCAGCATTCCTAGGAGCGAATCTAAACCCTTGCAATTATATTGGGGGCGTGAGTTTCAATCCCGATCGAGACATCCCAGATCTATCCGGAAAGGTAGCGTTGGTGACCGGAGGTATGTCAGACTTCACTTGAAGGGACTGGCACAACGGACTAATATAATGTAGGGAATGCTGGACTGGGCAAAGAAACAATCCTTCAATTGGCCAAACATCGACCACAAAGGATATATCTTGCTGCACGGTCGGAGACGAAAGCACAGGCCGCCATCAGCTCTCTAAGAGGGTCACTAACCAATAATGTTGAGATCACCTGGCTCCCTCTGGACTTAATGTCCATTAAATCAATTCAGTCTGCGGCACAAACAGTCAATGCAGAATCACCACGGCTCGACATCTTGATACTCAATGCTGGTGTAATGTCTCTGCCGCCAGGAGAGACAGAGATGGGCCATGAGATCCAGCTCGGTACCAACCATACCGGACATTTTCTTCTCACGAAGCTGTTACTGCCAACCTTGCTCAAGACAGCAGAAGAACCCAATTCAGATGTGCGGGTTGTATCCCTCTCATCGATCGGACATAATCTGGCTCCGTCATTCGAGACTATCCTCGACCAGGACCGATTGAAAAAGGTGAACACCAATACTCGATATGGAGCCTCGAAGGCAGCAAATATCCTATTCGCAGCTGAGCTTGCGCGGCGGTATCCGTCTATTACTTCTGTTTCCGTTCACCCTGGAATTATTCTCACAGATCTATACAGCTCGATGAGCGAGCGTTCTACCCTTGCTGCATTGGGCTCAAAGACGCTGAGCTTTTTCGGAACACCGGTCCCCCAGGGAGCCTATAATGAGCTGTGGGCCGCGGCTGGTGCCAAAAAGCAAGACCTCATCAATGGAAGTTATTATATCCCGGTGGGACACTTGAAGCCTTATAACCAATATGCTCGGAGCGAGGATATGGGAAGACGATTGTGGGACTGGACTGAGTCTGAGCTACGGAAGTTCAATGCTTTACCATGAGTTGTCATACTCTTATTAGTATTATCATTTTTCCTTTTATATTTTCTTACCTATTTTTGTTTCGAGCTCCGAGATGTACATATAGTCGCTCTTTCGAAAGATAAAGATTGTCACCTTTCCTTCTTGGCAGCACGAAAGTCGGAGTTTCAGTAAATCCGATTTTTAAGCTTCAACAAAAATTATGGATCAGACTAACTGCATGCAGACCAGCTTGCGAGACGCATCCATGTCGGACGTTCGTCCCTGGTTCCGTCCGTGTCTTCGGGGAAGAGCTGTCTGCCTACCCGATTAGTCAGCTGACCTAGGATCGGTATTTAAGCCACGTAGGCCACGAAATAGAAACATCAGACCTGAATTTACTGTCAAAAAGACCCTTTCAGTTTTAGACCTAGTTTACTAGGTAATACCGAATATCATTTTTTCAATAAATTCTTTACTTAATATCAATAACTTCAAAACTCGAATAGAAATTCAAACTAAGGTTCTGGAATTATAAGATTGTTATTTGACTACAGAAAAGAGACTATTAAATAATATATCACTTATAACCATTAAGCTTTGGGCTGTTTATACTATGAATTTACCCTATAAAAGGGACGGATATTCTAGTTGGATTAAGACTGAGCCCATACTGTTTTCATATAGGTTAAGCTCCTCTTGCAAAGAGTGATAATACTGCACACCCATTCTAAAACTCGCAAAGATGAACAGAAGGCCATCCCATCACAACGAAATCTCTGCTTTCCGTCGTCTAATGTTGATTTTGATATCTGAGTGCGCCAATATGTTATGCCCACGCAGCTGAATGCAACCTTCCTCCGGCAATACCACTTTGAAATCATACTTCAATAGAACATGGCATAGTAGTATTTTGCCAAAGACGGCAGCGTAGTGTCTTCCAGGACATGCCTGTTTCCCGTGCCCAAAGCCCATATGGTTTGGACTCGTGGAAGTAAATTGAAAAGGGCTTGTCAAAGAATTCTTCGCGTTTTTACGCAGCTTTGCAAATCGGTAGCCGTCATATTTATCTCCATCCGGCCAGACTGAGGAGTCCATCATATGGCATGCTGACACCATAATCGCAGTTCCCCTCGGAATAATTAATCCATCAGGTAGGACTACTCTCTCTTTTGCAAGTCGCTCCATGTTGCCTATAGTACCACAATTTAGTCAATGAATGAGCTCTTGCTTGAACTGGCATCATGGGACCACTCACTATACCCCAGGGGTCTGAGTCTTTGGCTTTCCTTCATTGCACTATCCAAAAGATATAGCTTTTGTACGGATGATTTGGTCAATCCCTCCTCTCCTACAACTTCAATGATTTCCTTTCGAATGTCATTCACCAGGGTAGGATTATCGGAGAGGTCGCACAGAATTTTCACAAGCAGGTCGTTGGATGTATCAAGTGAAGCAAGCGCCAGTGTGACCTGCAGTGTAGTAAAGTCATATGCAGAGCCTTTGCTTGCCTGTTTAACCCAGCTAAGCGCAGTCATGTCTGAATCAGGGCCATTCTCTTTGTCAAGCAACGGCTCAAGGTATTTTATGACTTCCTGAAGCTCAGCCCGGACCTTTCGACAGCTTGGCATAAACCGAGAAGCGATAAGCCTCAAGGGCATTGGCCACCGTCGCAAATTATGAGCGGCAACAAATGAATCTTCCAGGAAATCATAAATACAATTTAGCCAGGCTGGGTCCCGACAGAGGTCACCATCGCCAAGAAAACCTCGAGATACCATTTGCGCCACAATTTGACCCATCGTATGTTTCAGGTTGACTTGGTGCCATTCTGCTTCGAAGTTAGAAACATTCCCCAGGTATATTCCAAGAACCTGAGCACTGAGCCTTTCGTACCGGATTCCTCGGTCCAGTTCGTTTCCAGGGCCAAAGTAGCTTCTGTAGAAAGTGGGCTGACAAGTTTGGCTTTGGATTCAAGAATGTTATTAAATGCTAGCGTTGAAAGCCTGTCCATGATCATCAACTTACGAGTCTGGCGTGATAGTTTTGTTTTGACAATGACCTGTACAATCTTTGATTCTAAGGCGATGTTTCCGAGTGCCTCAAATCCCGGTATTCCTGCGTGGAAGTCCTACAAGTAGGCCGGTTAATACCCAGGCCTCAGTTTCTCACTGTAATCGAAAATACTAACCTTACCTAGGAACTCCCCCAAATCAAATCTGTTATCACCTCCAATTATATCGGCATATTTTGGGCTCAGAATCAAGCGAAAGTGGGACTCTGTGCAGAGATAAAACGCGTCTCCCCCCTATTGTCAAATTGTTTCTCCCAGCGTCAGTCATCTATCTGAGTAGCAATTGCATGAACGAAGCTATGCGCACATTCTTTAGCCCATTTCTTATCCATCCCTCTGGATCAGCAATGTATCGTGCCGTCGCTTTACCATAGCCAAACTCGAACCATTTTCGATCATTGAAAACTGGCAGCCCGGATGGATTCAGCACTCTCCTCCTGATCTCAACGAACAATATGGTTATAATAACCACTCCCACCACAACATTCGCAGTGATGGAGTCAAGGTGAAACCAGTTAATGGTCATCATGTCAACCCCCTGTTTTCTCGAAGATCGGTCTTTACTGTTCAAATATCCAAGGGAACACTGGAAAGAAGGGCTTGTGGAGGGCCTGTGATTTTAAGTTAGGCATATATTTCCCCATTACTTGAAAATTTCAAGTCCCCGGTTGTAGGATGGCATCCCTAGATAGATTACACGTGTGGATCACTAGCAGCTCTATTGACATGCGTCTGCATATGCCCCATCGCGCCATGTTGCGAAACCTGCGGTGTTTTAGGGAAATTAACTAGACCGTAATCCTCCACTCCTCCCACCGTCTATATCTCTATAACTGTACGGAGAACGGCTGCCAGTGTGGAGTATAAAAGTAAAGATAGCCGATCCCACTTGTTAATTATTGAACTTTAATCTTTAGGCTGGGGCGATTTTTGACCTGTTAAATTAATCCAGATCGCCAAGATGCGGTTAGATTTTCACGAATCCACCCACTATTGGCTCCTCAAGAACCCGAATGTTGAATGACTGGGAAGAAATTCTTCGAACCCCTACAAGGTACAGGAGAAAATAGTGGATATAATTATACAAATGTAGAGTAGGTAAACATTGATGTGAAAATATTCTGGTCATCCATTCTTCTTTTTCCTTTAATCATACAACAAAAGCTATACTGACTGGAATAAAAGTCTCCCGCATGTAATATAAAGAAACAGGTACAGCTGTAAACCCATCAATTTAACATATACGGAGTAATCCTGCGGCTCCACAGTGGAGTTCAGATCGTCCGCAATTCCAATAAGCCCCACGTCCACAGCTAGCCACGATCTGGTTACTTGTACTGACTCGTAAGTTGCTATATTGGTCATTATTGTTTGCCAAACCATGATGATCACTGACGATCCTTCGACATGTTGGCTTGGTAGGTTTCCAGGACCACTTTACGTTCATCACACAACCTGGTACTAAACAGCGGTGAGAGTTCTGTCTACAGAGTATGATTTGGACCTATACCTCAGCCCGCCTTTGATCTTCAGTGGCAAAATGATAGTATGTAGGCCTACCCACGTGGCCATAGTTAATGCAAAGTAGGTGCTGGCTTATAAATTCTATTAGTGGCACGCTTGGACAGTAAGGGGCCAAAATTGATGGTAGGGCTAGGGTGGTGCTTGGTGGGGTTGGTAATGGTTGTATCAGGGTTTCTTAAGCATGGACTTTTGACTTGGAAGCAGACATGATCGTCGGAAACTTACCACTTTACATTTCAATCGCTTGCAGTTGGTACTCGAAAGTATGGACATCTGAGCACTTCCTAATTCACAGACACAAAATATCTCAATATGGGTTCCAAGGGGCCAGAAGGAAAACCAGATGACGGACTGTCCGAGATCATGTTAGAGGCGGAGTCTTTCTTGACGAAACTGCTCACGATTAATCCTCCGGCACCGTCCGACCCTATTGTTCGAAAGCTTAATACCCATGAGATACAACACATGCAACATGAGGTTATGCCCGATGACCATCCTCGAGATCTTTCATCCGTCCTTCAAGAAGCTATGGCAATCTTTGATAACCGGATGCGCCTCACCCACCCACATTGCTTTTCCTATATACCAGCTTGCCCAACTTCCCTTGCCTATCTAGGTGATCTCCTCACTTCTATTTGCAACGTAAATGCTGCTAGTTGGGATGTGAGCTCTGGTCCAAGTGCGGTTGAAAAAGCCATGATAGCCTGGCTGGGTGCCCAGCTGGGACTGCCAGACTCAGTTGGAGGTTGCTTTGTCTCAGGTGGCTCTATGGCAAACATGGCGGCTATAATTGCAGCCCGAGATGAGGTTCTTCATCCTAGGCAGCGAGGAGATGCGGTCATCTACATTTCTGACCAGACACATATCTCTATTCTTAAGGCGCTACATATAACCGGCTTCATGGATTATCAAGTCCACAAGATACCCACCGATGATGAATTTCGGATAGATGTGGACATCTTACGACGCGCTATCATTACAGACCGCCAATCCGGACGTGTACCCTTTCTTCTTGTCGCCAATTGTGGGAGCACCAACACAGGGAGTATCGACCCTCTCCATGCACTCGCTGATCTTGCACGAGATGAAGGCATATGGCTACATGTGGATGGTGCATATGGTGCTTCCATCGCGCTCTCTGACAGGCATCACGATCTCATTGATGGGATCGGTCGCGCAGATAGTGTTTCTTGGGATGGGCATAAGTGGCTCTTCCAGACATATGGCTGTGGAATCGTGCTCACGCGCGACGTTCATTCTCTTAGGCGCAGCTTCGCCGTTGATGCCGAGTATATCAGCAGTACATTGGCACCACGGGACAACACCAATTTCTACAACCTTGGTCCAGAGCTCAGTCGGCCAGCGCGTGCCATGTCTCTTTGGCTCACCCTCAGAACCCTAGGTCGTCAGCGTATGGGTGAAATGATCGACCAAGGTTTCCTTC